CGGTCATTGGCTTGAGCTGCAAGTGGTTCAAGGCTGAAATGGTCCTTCTTTGTGGACTTTGTTTCTCTGTCACCATTCAATTTTTCTGGGTGAGGCAATCCAGTATCTCTTAAGAATCACACTCTTCATTCATTGTAAAACATCTTTTTCCAAGAGAAGGATGTGTGAAATGCTGTGTCCCCTATTAGAGGTGATTTTGATAGCACGAAATAGAATTTTTTTTTTTTTGGTACTATTACCTAAGTTGGAAAACATTTGTGTCTTGAATACTATAAAAAGATGAGTTAATATTTATCTTACAGTTTGTTCCTTTAGTCTTTTTATGTAACAGTCCGCCATTTATTGGAGAGTATCTCCCCCCCTTCTCCTTAGGGAACGTTTTCAAGATTTTTTTTCTCTTAATGTATCTGTGTCAGTTGGTGCAGATGGAGAATAAGATTATGAAATTTTGCTTTGAAAATGGTCCAAGGTGACATTAGGTGCTTAAAATGTCAGATTGTGCGACATTCACTTAAGATTTTGCTTTTGTCTTCAAAAATGGTTAAAAGAAGGGGATTAATTGTAAAGCATCTTAGCAGTATTTCAAATTATAGCATCCCAGCTTGTGATCCTCATGTGGAGTCATTTTGTGAAGTCGAAAGAGCATAGTCATGACCTGCATTTTGTGTGAGAACTCGAGCTGTAAATATACAGTGTGTTGGTCACTTGGGTATTGGTTCAGGTTGGTGGGCAGACCCATCCCAAGTGTGGGTGAGGAGTCCTGGATGGATGCAAGGGACACAAATTTGTGTGATGATACCTTCACTGGAACAGCTAGACTTACACTTTAAAATGTACACTTTATTGTGAAACTGTTACAAGCGTTCTTGGAAGCATTTTGGTGTTGCACTTCATGCCTTACCAAACAATGCATCTTTGGGCAGAGTGTAGGTTGGAACTCCCAATTTACCAGGCAATGCTTCTGTGCTTGTCTTTTTTCAACCCTCCCCTTTTCGTTGATGCCCTTCTGCATCTTTGGGCAGAGTGTAGGTTGGAACTCCCAATCTACCAGGCAATGCTTCTGTGCTTGTCTTTTTTCAACCCTCCCCTTTTCGTTGGAGTTCCCAGAAAGGATTTTGTGGATGAAAAATGGTAGGGTAAGACCAGATGAGTGGTTCTTGCCTCCCTCTTGTTTACCTCAAATATTCAGGCTTTGCATGTGCACATGTTTTTGCCTGGTCACAGACTGGAGGAAAATCTGTGAAGTGCCCTCCCCATGTGAATCATCTCCCAGCCATAGCTGCTTTTTCTTTATCTGGGAGCAAATCCCCAGCTCCAGGGACTGCTTGAGATGTTGGCCAAGCTTGCGAAGCCCTCAAAAGCAGCCAGGTTACTCCAAAAACTTGGTGTTGCTGAGTGAGGAGAAAAAGGCACAGCAGCCTTTGCATTTTTTTTTCCTTTGTGTTTCTTTGGGAAATGATTTGTTTTGTTTATTTATCTTTTATAAGGACTTAAATATTATGGGCATGATATAAGAGATTGTTAACTGTTATCCTGCCATAATTCCATAAAGCAAACAAGTTCATGATTCCTCACTGATACAAAATACAAGTCCTATTGACCCAGAACTCCGTGATTTTGCCACTCTCACTTCTATGTCAGATTCAGTCTAGAGCTGTTCTAAAGTTTCATGCCTAAGAACAGGAAGCCAAGGAGAGGTTTTGGAGGTGGCTTGAGCTGGTTAATCAGCTGAATGTTATTGCAGGGGACAGTCTGGGCTTGATGCTGTCCTTTTCCTTCTTCCAGTGGTGGTGCTGAGCCTGCTTTGGCTCAATAAATCAGGAGAAATGCAATCCCTTGTGGTAGCTGAGATACCCATGGCAGCAAACTGCTGCCTTTCAGGAAATACACCTGCAGCCATTTGCTGGAGAATTTGTAAAAAGCCAGAAAGGTTGAATAGTTTTCTCTTTTTTTCTCTTTCTATTCTCTGTTGGATAACATTGACCTTGATAAGCAGTCTCAGTGTCTGGAGATGTTCTTCTGCATGGAGATGTAACAAAGCCATTTTGGGATGCTGACCTTGTGTTTTGATGGGGATTTTGGTGTTGGCAAACTGAGCACATACTGCTCACAGTGCCTGGTGGCAGGAGCAGCAGACACAAATGCCCCAATTGCATTCTTGCCCACAATAAAGTCACTACTGGAGCTTACTGCAATGATCCTGAGATTTAACAAGTCCCTTACTGCATTTAACTCACATGGCTGGGTTGTAATGAACATGTTAGAGTGTAAAAAACCCAGCCTTTTCCTTCAAATAAAACACAGGCACAGAAAACATCCCTTGTTTTTTAAAATGAGCCATTGCACTCGGGGCCCTTTAACATTCAAAATTTAACAGGTGGGACTCCTTCTCTCTTCCTCACATATTTTTCAACTAATGAGGAACAAGTATTTTCACTCTTTTTGTGTGTTTATTAATCATTTGGGGGTCTGTCTATTGCAGGGCAGACTTTGCTCATTGCTGGTTTCCTACAGCTGTGTTGACAGGTTCCTGCTGTCCCTGGAGAGGAGCCGTGGCTCAGGGTGCTGCTCTCGTGTTGAGGGTGATGCCTTGTTTGCTCAGAGCTGACACGTGCTCAGCCCGTGGTGTTTTTGTGTGTGAGTGATTCAACCCTTGTTGTGTACGAGTAATGGAGTAGTTCTTGTCAAGGGATAGGGAAGATGAATGTGTTTTTCAAGTGCTGGCCCATGACTTGAAAAATCTGGATGTGTTTCAGGGCTTTGCTGCCAACCTACTCTACTGCATGACCTTCAGTGAGTTGTTAAGGGCAAGACCTCTACTGTTGGGGCTGGGGAACACTCATGGACAGTCAGCAACGAAGACCCTCCCTCCAGTCTGAGGGGGAAGCAGCAGTGGAGTGAGCTGGAGTGATGTTCTCTCCAGTAGGCAGTGTGCTCAGTCTTAAAAACCTGGCACATTTTAAGGGTAGAGTCCAGAGAACTGGAAACTTGTCTTTTCAGGCATGTGGTGGGCACAAGGGTTTGAATTTCATCTGCCTCTCAAACAGGGTAGCAATGAGACAGTGTCTTCTCCTTACATCAGGGGGTGGAAGGTACTGAGGTTCCTCCATCCCACAAAGGAAGATGCTTAAAATGAACATTAATCATCTGTCATTGTTTTATCTGTTACAATCTGACTAGAAAAGCCCATATGTTTATGTAAAAACCTAACTTGTGCAAGATGCTGGTCACTGAACTCTTGCATAGCCCGTGAGTCCTGCTGCCATCCAGCTGGCCTCGAAGGCAGATGATGGGAGTGCTGTGAGAGGTGTGGTGTATGTGAGATGGGGGGAGATATAAAAGATAGAGAACAAAAAAAATTATGTTTTCACTTGCTGGACAGTGAGGACTGCTGGGCTCATCTCCCAGGAGAGCTGAGCAAAGTACATATTGACACATCCATGTTGGAGCCTGGAGAAAAAGCCCTGCTGGTGCATCAGGCACAGCAGAGTGAGGGGCTGGGCTGGTGGGACAAGCCTCATTTCTCTGGAAACAGAGATTCATCTCAGTTTGCATGCTCATATTTTACAGGTAATTGGATTGTGGAGAAATGAGTTAGCTCGAGGATTTTGGGCAGGTGTTCTTGCTGTAGAGAAATAGGTTTTACAGGCGTTTTCCGTGTCATAAAGTTATCAAGAGTGGCTGAGATTGGCTATGTAATTAGTGGGATTGGAGTTATTTTGGGAGATTCAAATCCTTTTCCAAAATGTTTTTATCAGCTCAGGGACTTAGGTCAGACCTTCTTCAGCTTCAGTTCATTTATGTGGGGGGGAAGTTAGGGAATATTTAATTTCCTAGCCCTCCCCATCACTGGGAAAACACTAGAAGCAAGGATAAGGCATTTCAGATTTCTTTTTCCACGAATTAGCAGACATCAAGTCTGCAGACTTCCAGTTGGCTTGTACCGATTTGCCTGCTGGGTGTTGTAGAAACAAAAACACGTTGTAGGCACACCAGATTTGTGTTGGTGATGGTGTTGTCCCCACGACTCAGCTTAGCCTGGGTTATGCTAAGGTAATGGTGCATCTTTCCTGCAAAGAAAGCAGTTTTGATTATTTTCCCTAGGGAAGAATCGTTTTGGTTCAAAGTAGATTTTGTACGTGAGGTGACTTAAACATGATCAAAGTCACTAAAATTTTATTTCAAATAAACATGTGACTCTCCTAATCAACCCTTTAAAGAGAACATCTGGGGAAAAAAAATGTCAGGGTTTTGTACATTTAATTATTCACTTGATTTTTCCTTTTTAAATATCTGATGACGTTTCCGCTGTTTGAGGGTAGATAGGACTTTATTGACACAATTAGCAAAACAAATGATTATCACACCTTTTCCTTAGCCCTGTCCTATTTGATCTATTTGCTTGCACTTTCATTACTCCTTTGCTTGGTTACATTATACACAATGTTATCACCTTCTTGTGCTTCTGCAGCTAAAACAAAGTGAAAAAACCTTTTTTGGCTCTCAGCTGCTCTCTGCTGTTTTCTTTTTACAGATGAACTAGAAAGCAATGTCAGGCAAAGAGTTATTTGAGTTTCCTTTCAGCACTTGCTGGGCATTATATCCGGGCCTGGCACTTGCCTGTGTTTATGCGACAGCTTTCATATTTTAAAATAACAAACAAAAATCCCAGCAACTCTACTCCCAGCACAATTAGTAAGATCAGATTAAAAGAATTGAAAAAACAAACAACCAAAACCCCCCAGATCATGATGGGTTTATATACGTCAAATACTAGAATCTTTATGACTAATTCCTTGGGTATTTTGAGCCACTTTGCTGGGATGTGTTTATTTTCTCTGAAAGCAGAGGTGGGAAGTGTGGCTCTGTCTGGTCGGAGGTCACATTGGGTTGTTGTACTGAAGGGCAGAGTGTTTCTGCTATGTCACTGGTGGGTTGTGCCAGACTTTGCTGTGGGTTGCTGAAGGTGTGATTCTCCTGATGGTGGAGAGACATTTTCCACTGAGGTCAGGAAGGCAGATGGTGCTGCTGGCCTGCTGCCTTACAACCCCTTCCATCCTCCTCTTCCCTGGTAGTGAAAATACCTCATTAGGTTTAGGAGGTGTGGCAGAAAGGAGAGGGGAGGAAAACTCTGTTCTTTCACCTGACAAAAAGAAAAAGAATAGTTTTGGAAAGATCTGTTGGTTAGGTGAGAACTACTTTCATTTTCTGGCTTCTCCTCCTTGCACATCCCCTAGAAGCTATGAGGCATCTGGAGGTGTTGCTCCATGCTGTGTCCATGCTCACTGTTACATTAATTTCAATAAATCATGCAAATGAAAAAAAAAAAAAAGAAAAAACCCTAAAACCTTCCTTCTGTGCAAAAATAAATCAAAATGTTAAAGTTTGCAATCCAGATTTTTGTCCAATGTGAAAAGAGCTGTTGTGTAATGGCCTGTCCCTTTCTTCTCTCTGAAGGTCCCAACCCCATGTGTCCCACTTGTCTGGAATAACCTTTGGAGTCTGGCAGTCTGGTCCTTTTCATAGCTCCAGAGGATTTTTAGGAGCATGGGGAGCATGGGATGCATGGACCTGTGGACCCACAAAACCATCTGGAGAATGCTGGCTGTGGATAAAAGCATCTGGAAGTTTCTACCATCTTTTTACTCTGTTTTTCCCTGGGTCACCCTGTGTCATTTGTGGCCCTGTCCTGAGGATTACAGCTTACAGTCACTTACTGGAATACCTCCTCATGCATCTTCTTGAAATGGAGCCATTGCTTTACCCAGCTGGAAGATATTTTCTGTTCTCCCAGAGCTTTTCCAGTGCAGCAGCAGCACTCCTGTCCAGCAGGTATGTAAATGCTTTTTACATTGACTGCCCAGTTTGCTTTCTTGATCTTCGGTCTTTTTTTTTCTTACTAGCTTGTGCTAAAGGTAAGACCTACCAAAGGCCCTGGTGCCATACTCTAAGAATGACTTTTCTTTGTTGGAACAGACCCCATTTGAGATGTAGGTTCTTGTGGAACAGTAGTGTCAGCTTCTGAAGGTTCTGATGACCAACCATAGCCTCATAGATGAGGGAAAGGATGGATCTGATGCTCTTCATTCTTGCACCTGGATCCTCCAGGACTTTTGGGCAGCTGTGTTTGTAACCCACAGCTGCCATCAGCTGTGTGCGGATCAGCTTAGCGGGCTTTATCGTCTCACTTCAAAAAAGATGACACAAATGTTTTTTCTCTTCTTAGTTCAACAGAATTTCTGCTGAAGAACGTAATTTTGAGGATGACTTACCCCATAAAAAAGGAGATGCCATTAGCTCTAAAATTAAACTATTCCTATTCCATATAGATATGTATAACTCAATAGCACTAGTGATAACAACCAAATTTGCATCACTAGAGTAATTTACAATGAATTAGATGTTTTTGTGGAGGTGACAAGTTTTTTTCCCATTCTTTCTAACAGAGAATTATTGGTTTTGGTGTCTCTGGATATCAATTTGCTGTGAAAATCATTCTTTTTGGCACTTGTGCTGGTTTGGTCAAAGGCTCAGGGTTCCTTCTACAGAGTAGACAAAAAATTAGCTCTTTGTCTCTAACTTTTATTTTCACCATACAAAGAGGAGGCGATGAAGGAAAAGGGTTGAAAATGCTTTGATGTACATTTATTCTGCATTCCCCTCAGCATTTGTGAGGCATTAAAAGTTTCATCTTCTTGCATGGTAAGCACAATTTTGCATCAGAGGAAGGAAATGAGAGGGGTAGGGTGGATAGAGCATGTTCAGTGGGAAGCATAATCAGTTGCCTCACGCTTCAGTTTGACTGTGACTCGTAGGCCAGATGGAGATTGTAGACAGAGATTGGGATAAAGATGTTCTTTGCTTTATCAATGAGCAAAGTCAAGTGCTTGCTGTGCTTGTAAGAGAGGCTGGAGCTAACAGTGGGGATTTGGAGGTGGAAGCAGCATCCTGCCAGGCTGGTGGGGATGGTCCATGCTCAAGCCCCAGCAGTGTAGTCATGTGCCAAGGCAGAGCCTTCTCCAGCAGCACTGCCCGGAGCTCAGCCCAGCAGGGCCAGACCCTTCCGTGTGCTTGCATGACTTTGTGCTCTGCTGCAGAGACATCCCCTGGAACCAGCTCTTCATTTGCAGATAGTTTTCCTTCCTCAACCTGAATTAACAGTTATCCCATCACTGAAATCCCTAGTGTTTTATTAACTAGCTCCTAATAACTTCTAAAGCACCTAAGAAAGACAAATCTCTTGCAGTTGTTCTTTTTATCTACAATTAAAGCAAACACCACTAATATTAAAAATCCTTTTTTTTTTTTTTTTTGTGGTCAGCTGTTTGACAGAGACATTGCAAACCAGATCTCTCCCCTTGTTGCTGTAAGATGTGAAAAGGTCCTATGTCAGCAGCAGTGGAATGAGCTTTATCTTTTATGAGTAACTGGGAGCGAATGGGGCATCAATTGCTCTGCTCTGGTGCTGCCAGGCCCTTTGGTGCCTCTGGACACTGAACAAAACCTGCCTGTAACCCGGATAACCCAGAGCAGCCCCAGGGTGCTTGACCTCTGCATTGCAGGGTCAGCGCTGACAGTGAGCAAGGAGAAAAGCCATGGTAGGTGGACCCTGAATTTTGTGTTCTGCTCGGCCCCTTGCAGTGTGACTCCCATGTCACACACAGTCTGGCAGGCACCTGGCACTTCTGGGCCACCTGGGAGTGGCCCAAGAATTAGAGCTCGGCCAGGAATGATGCTTCAGTTGTAAATGTGCAGCTGTCCTTTACAGGGATGAAAAATCGTCTCAGGTTTTCTTCAGAGCAGGTCTCACCCTGCATAGATGTGGGGCAGCTTCAGAGGATAAGTAGTTTAAGGGCTTTGCTGTTGGTCAGCGTGAGCATCCAGGCAGGGGGGCTGCTGGCTGCATCCCTTGGTGCTAATTAAAAGATTAACCCCATTAGCATTCAAGAGTTTTGCTGGTAAAGTAGCAAAGATTTGCTTTGAGTCAGGTTGCAGATCCTTGGATCAAAATGTCCTTTAAGGAGTTGGTCTGTATACAGATGCATGTTATTAATAATAATAAAAAAACCCAGAAAGCTGCTATTTGGCTGCCTTTGAGGGTTATGTATGTGGGTGTGTATTTCAAAAGCACATAACTGATTATGAAAATCATTGATGGTCTAAGTCAGTATTAAGGATGGTTGGATGACAGTGAAAAGCAGCCCTGGCACATTGCAGGGATGTTCTTGTCATGACTAACCCCTCTCACTCTCACTCCTACGGAATTTTTCAGTGCCCAGCACAGACCAGCACTGAAATTGCAGGTTTGCAGAAGTTTTTAAATCTCTCCCCAGCTGGCAGCAAATTAAGGAATTGCAAGTATTTATTGGTTTAAGGATAAAATATAACCTCAAAGCTATAAAAAATTTTGACAATGAGGCTTTTTTAAGGGAGTCTTACTTTCTTTATGGTTTTGTGAGTCAAATGTGTTGAAGCCTGACAGAGGAAGAGGTTTTAATCTACAGGTGCTGTCTCTTGCTTGATGGTTTCCTGCTTCTAAAATTACTTCCAGGTTTTTTGGAATTGGGGCTGAAGCTAGTTTCAACTTTCAGTTTGTGGGCAACCTCGCTTACGACTTCAGCAGGCTGGATTTGTGAGGGTTGGGGGCAGCAAATGCTAGTGCTTTTAAAGATTCTTATTTTGGCTGCCAAAAGTCCATTTGCCACTTTTAAAATATTTACAGCTGAATCTTTGAATTCACATCTTCTTTAGCTTGAGGAAAGTGCTGAAGCTGAAATTTTGCTTTGATGTTTCTTCCCCTGTCCTGCATGGGGAGGTTGGAGGAGAGCATGCCCAGGGTGAAGGATGTTGATTCACCTGTGCTCATCCTGCACAGGCTGACTTTTGCTCATTGTGCAGCAGTGAAAGTCAACATGAACAAAGCAAATTAAAGCTGAATGTCAGTCCTTAGTTTATGCTAAAAACATCAACCACTTTTGAATTGTGCATTTGCTCTCCTTTAAAGGTTGTGTCTCCTTTGGGGCACTTATTAATGAATGCCATTTGTGCCCAAACTTTGTGCCCTTACTGCAGGGCATGTAACTGGGGATACATTAGGCCATATTTCTGTTTATTTATATAAGTAAATAAATATTCATATATTTTTAAATATCTGGAATTATCCTCCTAGTATGTCTTTAATGATCCTCTATTGATTGCTTTAAGACCTTGCTTGGAATTTTGTATTAACCAAAGCATCCCAGTCATTACTTTCAGAATAAAAATCTTTCTTTATGTGTGATTGTTGCTTTTCTTTATGTGTGATCTTTGCTTTTCCACGCTTTTCCTGACTTACTGTGCACAGTAAATATTGAGCTATCTGCTGACTTGCTGTGTTCTTCAGGTTGCAAAGAAGCAGTGACTTATCATGAGACATATTGTTAATGCCAGCAAGAAAGCAAGAGGTGTATGCTTGGCTTCTGAATCCTGTGTGTTGCTTTGAGGGGCTCTGTGCAGAGCTGGAGGTGCCAACAGGCTGTTTTCTGGTGCTCCCAGCTGCTGGGCAGCATTATGAGGATTAGCATTGAGGAACTCTTAGCGAAATTTGTCTCATGCCACGAAAATGTAAAGCCTCCAAAGCTGGCTGGCATCCCAGGGCTGTGAGAGGCCCTTGGAGGGGCTCTTGGTAAAGTGGCAGGATTTGCACTGCTCCCCCTGTGAAGGGGACATGATCTGAAGAGTTTCTGATGAAGCTTTAATCATCTCCAAGCTGGTTTGGTTGCTTATATAGGGCAGCAGACAAAAATTCCTGAGCAGAGTGGCTGCTATAGGGCCAGTCTGCCACCATGGGAGGGCATCTACCTAATCTTCTTGTCCTGCAGTGTGGAGCCCAGTTCAGAAAAACAAAATGCCATTTTTGGGCAATATTGTATTCTCAGGGTGTTTCCTGACCTAGAATCAAACCCAGCCTCCTAGTTTTTCCCTGGCACTGATTTTGGGTATCCTGTGATTTTGCTGCTGTACTTTTGCAGGGTACCATCATTGTGCTGCCTCCTCTTTGTCTCTGCAGTGTCAAAATCAGGAAGTCAGATTAGAGGCCTGGGGCTCCAGCAGCAGAAACAGGGCCTGAGTGTGTGCAACACAACGAAGTACCTGTATTTATAACAATTATTGTAGACAGCTTGGGGGATGAGGCACAGCTGCATTCCAGCCCTGGTGCCTCTGGATCTCTTACTGTCCTGATTAGAAGTGTATCTTCACCCCAGGCTCAGCAGCCCAGTTTGCCTGGCTGGGGGCATTCCCTGGAGAGCTGAGTGATGCTGGAGACCCCACACTGCCCTGGCTTGGCCCCCTCCACAGCTTGGATATGCCCTCCTGCCCCTGGCAGCATTCTTGAGGCACATGGATGTGGGATTGCCATCATCCTCCCCACTGGCACTATCTCTTGGCTTTCATTAAGCTTTTTGCAGAGAGCAGCTCTTTGTGGTGGCCCCTGGGCCGTTTTATCCAGGGCTCCATTTGTATCACCATCAGGTGGTTTCTGTTTGACCTTTGCCTTGCTTAAAAATTAAGTACCAAGGTACTAGGAAGAGAAGTAATTTCCCAGATAAGCACTTTTTCCCTGCTCTTCTGTAGTTCATGGGGGAGCTGGCTTACCCTGCCTGTGGATGACTAAGGAGGAAATTCTTTTTTGGTTAGGATAATGCTGACAGTTCACTGGAATTTTTTTTATCATGGGTTTATCACTTCCTCCCTACGAATTCTTATGTGCAGGGCAGGAAAAAAAATAGTGGTGACCACAAGTTATGGAATTTGCTTTCTGTGGAAAAGATGCTGAACAGGTAAATGATGCT